GTTGCTTTTAAGTTGCATCCTTTTGCATGCTGTATAAATGTCTTAGTTGCTTTCATTTTTTATTTAAGGCTTTTGGAGAAGGATAATAAAACAGAAGTGATGCATCTCTTGCCTCAACTGCAAGAGCTGGTGTAGATAATGAATGATCTTATCAGCCAATCATAACATCTTGATTTAGGTTTTTTTTTTTTTCAGTTGTTTCCCCCCCTTCCCACAAATACAATGTTGACTGAAAATATGGGGATATTATATTCATCTGGGGATTAAAAAAGCTCCAGTTTTTTTTAATTGTTATATTATAAGGTGTTGCTTTGTACAATCAAGTGTGCTGTATACACAACTGTTCTGGCTGGACAGCTGAAGTAAGCACTTGACTTTACAGTATTGTCTTGCTTTGTTTTGCTCCAGTTGAAAAAAAGTTGTTGTTCTAAAAAGTGTCCATTAAAAACAGTTGAAAGATGTTTTAGCAAAGAAGTATTAACTTGAATACCTTTTCTTGCAAGGGAAAAGGGGATGTGTAAGATTTTTTTAAAAAGTGTAGCTGCTGTTATGCACTTTAATATGACTGTCATAGAGGGAAGGCGGGCGTAGTAGAAGAAGGAACTGAGCTGATAGTTTAGTTTAACTTTGGATTTTTTCTCTCTTGATCCCTTCCCTGCTCACTCCAATAAGAAAATCTGTTTACATTCCTTACATGCCAGAAAGTTGGGGAGGAAAGCATCTGACTGGTCATATTTTCAGTGTTCCTGCTGTTATATTGAAAGTGGATTTTCCATCTTCTCCCAGTGTTTGCAGTTCTTTTGTAGGCTATTAAATGAATTTTAATGTGTAGCATAAAATCACTGTTTTCTTCATATATCTCAGTCTCTGATTAGGGATACATAGAAAACAACTTCCCATGAAGTTGGGAAAGACCAGTTTCAAAGTTAGTTGTTTTTATAGCTAGATTTCTTTCTTTTTTTCTTCATTTGCTAGAAAGAAGCATCTGATCTCACAACCCTTCCCCCCCCCCGAGATTCCTAAGTCAAGTGATTTAAAAAAAGAACAGTTCTTCTTGCTTGTCAACTTTATGCAAACATTTAAACCATTTTTCTGCTCCCTTGAAGAAAGCAATATGAAATCTGTTCAGTATGAACTCTGTTTAACTTTACAAGAAAACAGTTTGGTTCTTAACTCTGTAAAGCTCCTGATTAAGAGGGAACATGCAGAGGGAATTGGGGGAAGGGTTGTTTTCCTCTGCTTTTAGCAGGTGCTGTGGTGTCCCAATAGATATTGATTTAAGTATCTTTTGTTGGTTCAAAAAGCACAAATCTGCCTCACAGCCCCTAAGGGCCTGGCAGGGGGATGTGTTGACTTCTCTGTCTTTTTCTGAATGGCTGACTCACTGGGCCCTTTTAAAACACTTTCTAATTTGGGGAGTGAACAGGGCATGAAGCTCTATGTGTGGCCTAATGAGAAGAGACACTGAGAAAATCAGGTGAATGTTGGAAGAAGCAGAAAAGCCCTTGTCATTTCTGGGCTCAGCTAGAAATATTGCTTCTTGACCCACTCCCTCCTTCTGCTTATTGGGGGGTGAGATTTCTCCAACAAAATCAGCATGGGCATTTTGTTTAGATTGTGCTGAAGAAGTAAGCCAGGTTCCTCTCTCCCCCCCCCGTTCTCCCTCCCTTTCTTATTTAAAGGAAAACCAATATTTTAATTCCAGTCAGCTCAAAGCATTTATGTAGCGCTGCAGATGTGTTAAGTTCAACCAGAGGTGAGAAAGTATGCAGCATATATGTTTGTTGACAGTGGTTCCATATAGGCTGGAGCTGGAGTGGGGAAGAGGGGCATGCCTAGGAGGAACACTTCCTGGATGGAAATAATCTTAAGTGCTGTCCCTACCTCCTCAGGTGTCAAAGGTGGTATATGCCCCCTGTGATGTGGGTTTCTAGAGGCACACACATGGGTATATAAAAGCTAGACCGACATGTGAGTGTATCTGTCTATGTACATAGTTACATATATTGAATGTATGTGGGTGTGAGTTATTTAATTCTCTTTTAAGATTTGTAAAAGGAAAAAAAAAATTATTGAACTGGCCTCACAGTCTCAGAAGTGAAGCTTAAGTAGGTGTCTTCTGCAAATGTGGAATGTCTAATACAGTACCTGCTTTTTATGTGAATTGAAATATATATAATTCTTTGTAAATAGAGACTTGGCTTTGTTTCGTTTGTTGCTCTGCGAGGTAAAAGACTCCTCCTCCTGATTTACAGTTCAGAGGGTCACCCAACCTTGCTCTGCTAAGAGGCTTGTGGGAAAGAGCCACATAGCAGCCTCTTGGCTAAATCAACAGTTCCTCTGATCTGAAGCTGGGTGAACCAAGCCCATTTCCTGAGTGAGGTGTTGAAATTGGGAAAATGTCGTCCTACCCCCTTGCTGTAACCAGCTACTTAACACACAGTTGAAAGAGGAGCCTTTGAGGTTACTTCATGGGCCAGATCTCAGTTGACCAAAATTCAGTAGGGTAGACCAGGAACCTGACCTGAGGTAGTTCTCTTACTGGATTGCTGAGAAATTAAATTGAAATAAAGAATTATCTCTTGGGAAAGTTATTGCGTTGCTGGCCTCTATCATTTTTTGGCTGATAATGGATTTCCTTGTGCCCCAAGCCTCTTTCTCTTGGGGCATTCATCAGTCTCTGGGATCAAATGAGATCCAAAGAAGTTGAAGATTAAAAGAGGGAACACAATCTATTTATATTTATCACCAAGCCATGCATGGAGGCTGGATCTAATAAGCATGATCAGGCACGAAGTATCAGGTTAATTAGTTCTACAACGTTGCTAATCTGAGAAGCCAGCCCTGCCAGGGAGTTCACAGAAATTCAATGATTCCCATTGCCTTCAATGGAACTCAACGGCCTTGTACCTTTTACCTGGAAAACAGTTAGTGAAACAGTGTAGTGCAACCGTCCTCTGGTTGGCAAGTACCTTACGTGTGGAATTGTGATGACCCAGGACTTCAAGTTCCAAAAATACTAAGCCCTAAAGAAAAAAACCTTTATGGCTTCAAGTCCATGTCTTCCTTGAGAGAAGTGGCCAAGCTGTTGGTCTCTTTGAGGTCGAACTAAGAAGGCGGGTGAAGAAAAGACTGATTTGAACTTGGCTTAAGTAAAATACAGGGCGCCATTCCCCTTTTCGGTTAGGCCTGCTGAGTCAGCCTATCGGCAGTTTCTCTGCAATCAGAAATCCTAATCTCTCAGAGAAATCCGACATTAATTCTTCAGGTGACCACAACGAAAACCACATTCCTTTTCCGTGCAGGATCAGAGCGAAGTCACGTTTCATTGCTTTTAAATATAGCCTTCCGTCTTTCTCATCTAGCCTTGACACTGTTAGGAATATAACTCCTTTGGAAGTAATAATTCGCCATGGCCTTCGTTGGCATGCAATTTCTTAGGTCTTCTCTGCAGTTTGGCGTGGCGTGGCAGAGAGCTTGGAGGGCTGTGAAACTGGCGAGTCTGGGAAACACCTGCAGGCAGGAGCAATGGAGGCCTTATAGGAAACCATCTGGCGTGTGGATGCCCATCGTGGGAAGGGGGATCATACAGGGCGCCCTGCGGTTAGAAAGAATGCCAACCCTTGACCTGAAAGGTTGCTGAGCGGCTGGCTTCGCACAATGCGCTAAGCCAAACCCTAAAGATGGGTTTACAGGTCATAATCCCTGGTTTAATGTTCATCTGGCATGCCCCAATAAGTCATGTTAGGATGGAACCTGAAGATCCGGTTCCTACAAAATGCCAAGACAATAGCTGCATTCCCACCAGAAATGGAAGTTCAGGCTAGGAAACCCCACTTCAGCTTAGCCTAAGGGGCAACTCATCCTACTTTCCGAGACCAGGCTGTGTTTGATCCTCTCTGCTCCCAGATGCTAGGAGAACAGTCACTGGGCGTCCTGCTAACACCCAGGACACTGAGCGCTCTTCCTGCTGAACACATGGATACCTATTCCAAGTTCCCTTATTTCGGAATTAAGTCAATGAGGTAGGCTATCTTATTGTGGAGTAAAACAGGTTCAACTGCAGCTAATTGGCTGCAGGAGGAGAAACAACGACCGCCGCCGCGTTTCCAAGGTCGGCTACGGACTTCACAGCGTAAAGGTGTGTTGTCTGATTAAAGCGGGGCACCGCCCTCGATTTAGTCACTATCTCAACAAATACCATAGAAGGCCGTAATCTTGAAAAAGCGAGCATAAAAACTCCTCCCTATTTATTACAAAGTGTTCCCCCCGCCGGGGAGTTTGACTTTAGTTCCTTGCTCTCGCACCTGCTCCAGCCGGGGATCCTAAAGGTCTGCCAAGCGAATCTCTTTCCCTCACGCCTTAACTTGCAAAGGAGGAGGGCGAGGAGGCGGGTCTGTTGGAAAGGCAGATTTTTTAACTGGGAACCTCTCCCTTTCCCAGCTTCTGCGCCAGCATAATTATTGTTGTTCTGGCGTGTTTTCAGTCTGGAGTGTGTGTGTGTTTCTGTCATCAAGTAGGCAATTAGCGAGTCCAGAAACACTGGTTGGGTTGGGTTGGGTTGCCTCGCCTCGCCTCGCCAAGCGGCGCGTGGTCTTGGAAGGGAA